ATAGTCGGTACGTACGCACATCAAGACTTAATATGATGCTAGAATTCGCATCATATTAATATTAAACGGGTACATAATTTTCGAGGAAAATCTTTGTGATCGATATACCTACAGACGGACATAATAGTGATCTGATAATCAATTAATTTCTTCTTTCTTTACTCTAATATTAGTCGTTATATTTTATTTCGCAACACGCACGCGTAAACAAGTTTAAAACATTAATATACTGTGACGAACTATGCTCGTAGACAAATTAATGAAATAACAAGATAACTCACCGTTTTAAAGAAATAAAATAATAAAACTCTGTTTGTTTATCGCAACAGGCGTAGATGGTTACTTACATTGTTTACACAATGGGATTAGTTGGAATTTTTCAGATAAATGTTATATGCTTACCACGTACGTGATATGCTTGTCTCGATTTTTGTAACTAATTTATGGTCTTTTTTACACTTGAGAAATACAATCTAGACCATTCGCCGAAGAGTGTATATATATATTAAAGTTTGAGCGCTGATAAGTGTAATCAATTAGAAGTGCCACAGTGCATTTCTGTATATCAATGTCACTGACTATATATTTTCTCTTATTCTGAGTGTTAATTTTTCATCCATCCATCTAAATCCTCGAACTGCGATAGGGATACATTGTAACAGTCATGGCAATCATGCCTTTGCGTTTACGCGAAATGCGACAGTAGACTGTAAAACCCTGTCCAAAATTGGAAATAAAACTCGCGCACAAATATATCCGTACGCATCGCGTTCAATTTGCATCAAATCACAGATTTTTTCCGCGTAATTTTTTTTTATCTAAAATTCTATTTAAAATTTTATCTACAATCTAAAATTTATTGCTATATAAAAAGAATCCCATAAGAATAAATGTGTTGCAGAGTTACGAGAAAAAATTCGCTCAGTGAAATATCGCAGTGCGGACTAGGCCTAAATTATAGCGCCATTCGGTATAATATAGTAGAAAAATATATTTACAAAGAATTAGACCGTGTCCGCACCGTGATATTTCATTGCACGATTTTATTCTAGCAGTTCTGTAACATATTGAATCTTATAGGAGTAGCTGCACTAGCGGTAAAAAATTCACGCGGAAAAAAATTGTGATTTATTGTGTGAAAAAATGTGATTTATTTCCGCGCGAATTTTATTTCGTAGTGCGGACAGGGTCTAAATCAATTGAATGCGTTTTCTTCTTTATAAAAGTTAATAAAACATCAATATTTGGTGGAAATCGTTATACAATTTTATTTCAAACCCTTGAACTTCAATTTATAATTTATAAAATTATAATTATCTATAGACTTATAGCAATTAATTAAGTCATACAACTATTTAAATTTTACTTTGAAGATATTTTTTACGACATTTTATAGTTTGTGATTTAATTTATATATCCGACGTCAATTTTCATTTCGCATTGTGTTTCTTGTAATAGACGGGCTTAATATAACTATATAAATAAATAATATACTACTAGTCAAATTTTTTCAAATACTCTCTTACAAAACTTACAAACCGGTTTAATAAAACGGGCTTACCAACTTACTGCACCGGTTAAATGTTACGAATTACAAAACCTTTTTTTATTTCTTTTCTTCGCGTAAAGTTTTGTACATTTTGCAACAGCAACAATTTATTGTTTTTAATTTCGGATAATACTGCCTACAGAATATAATTTAAAATTGACTAATTAAGAAATATTTTATTAAAAAAATATTTATCTTTCTAATTCACATATCACCCACATCTACGTCCGTGATATTGAAATAAGTGTGATAATTTGAGATTTTGTCATTGAGAATTACTATTGTTGTATTCGTGTTTTGGTTGATAAAGCTAAAAAAAAACATATTGCAAGTGATTAGGGGTATGGATTTTTAATTGGAAACTTGTTAGCTGTCTCAAGACGCATGAAAATTGGTACTTTCTAGGTTTGAAATATGAAGATTTTGAAATGGCATACCTTAGCAGACAGATGATTAGAACCTGAGACAATACGTAAATATATATATATTATTGTTAATATGAACTCGTGCCTGTTTCCCTGAAGGGTAGGCAGAGACTATAGATTACCACACGGTACGATTTTTGCATATTTCTCTTGCTTCATTGGCATCCATCAATCTTTTCATGCGTTTTCTCGTCAGTTTCAGATGCTTAAATTTGACACTCGTTAAATGTGCCACCAATGTGATCTGCATAGGATTTTCTAGGGCGACCCATACCGATCTTTCCAACACACATGTTCACTCGATACAATTTTTTTTTTGTCAGTCATTCATCCTTTCCGGATGGCCAAACCACGCAACATTCATTTTTCTACTCTAGACACTACACCTTTCTTCAAACTATACCGCTCTACGACATCGCTGTTTCTTCATATATCTTTGCGAGATACTTCGCACATACTACGTAGAGATCTTATCTCCACCGCATTGATTCTTCTTTCTTTTGCCATACCCAACTTTCACTACCGCACACAAGAGTGGGGATGAGGACCCCGTTATGCCAAACGCGCTTGTTGAGAGACACTTTAACCATTCATAACAGCAATTAAGTTTCTATATAATTTACTTCCCGCATTCACTGTTCTTCCAATATCTCTATCATGTGTACCATCGTTTGTAAACAGACTACCCAAGTATACAAACACTTTCAATTGTTCGATTCTCTCATCTTTTAAATATATATCGCAATCAGTCATGCATATATGTACTTATAAATGAATTGTATACAGGATGGAATTGATCGTGCATCTTTCCGCCAATACTTATAATCTCCTCTTTTTTTAGAATAACTTTGCCAAAGTAACTATAACAAAAATATAAATAATATAAAACCTAATGCCTTTTTGTTGTGTTACGATTGTTAGGTATTATAAGTATAGGTATTGCGTATGTTTTCGTTGTAAGAATACGGGTTCTTCTGGTAACGAAACAAAAATGGAACCAAGATCATCATCAAGTTGAGATCATGGAGAACGTTATCGGTCAATATAAAAATAAATAAAAAAAAAAACTCTTTCGATACGTAAGCGGAGCCGCAGACACATACATAATATGAGATAATTTAAGAAAATTGATAGAGATTGCGTGGATTTTACCATATGCAGCTTTACATAATTCAAAGCGCAAATAGCTTTGTCGTTGATGTTTATGTAGCGAAAATAACAATAGATGCCCTGAAAGTCCTAATATTAGATTGAAGAGATCTTGTATTACATTACTTAGGAAACCGGTTATGTGAGTACAATACGCGTGTATTATTATGTAAGAGCCGTTTGAAAGTTATTTTTTGAATGACAGTTGTGCGAATCACATTGCAATAGTTTCATATGCCAGCTCATTGCATTTACAGAATGGAATTTATTCACATATATATTTATATGCTTTAATAACGTATCTAATTACTTAAAACGAAAAGTTCGTGTACATATATTTAACTTTTTATAAAATATTGCTTTTCAAGTTTGTCTATTATATGTAGGCGTTTTAGTCGCTTAGTGTTTTGTTTATTTAGTAGAAAGTTAAGGTAATTACACAATTGCTGTTATTTATTGGTGGTGACTTGATTACTGATTAACTACACGACATAAAGTACAGCTCTGACACTATACGTGTTATGTTGTATAAATATTTATTGTTGTCAATGACTATGAGTATCTTTTCCCGTTGGAATTTATAATTTTCCCTTATAAATTTATCATAGGGAAAATGATAACTTCCAAAAGACGTCGAGTGAAGCTCAGTTGCTCAGATATTTTATTTAATATATGTTTTATTTATTGATAAAATAAAAATAAAAAAAAAACTCAAAAGCTGTCTTTAGGAGACCCGCTTGGAACGATGTTCCTTTCACTATGTATAAATATATTTTATGAATTGAATAATAACAATGATATTACTTAAAACATTTGAAAGTGATTAAATAAATAATAACAATATAATGAATGACTGGTAAGAAATATTTGTAAGCTGTAAATAAACATTTTTTATATTAATTAATAAAATTCTAAAAAAAGCACTAAGCAGCGCCTTCTGTTTTATTTAATAAAGACTTTGTTGAGTTTGTCAATTTACAAAATTGTTTAATTATGAAATCAATAACAGATGTTACTTTTACATATTTGTATCAGTATTTATTTATTGAAAGTTTCAAATTAAATTCTCTCCAGAACTGTTTCTAAGTTTCATTTAATATTTTAAGAAAAAAACAGAAATTAGAAACAATATAAAAACACAATGAAGTAAATTAACAAATTTTGTAAGTAATACAACGAAAAATACAACAAAATTGTGTGGATGTGTGCAAGTTACACACGGAAGTGTAACTTACACTTTACTTCACTTCTCGTAAGTTACTGTTACTTCGGAATAGTAACTTACGAGAGAATGAGATCAGTATAGGGTATCAGGAGTAGAAAAATAGTACAGTTTATTTTCTGTATAACATTTTAATTAAATTGGGATATTTACAATCTTAAAATACACAAATAATATATATCACTGCCAAAATTCAATACAGTTTTAACTAAGATTCAATCTTGTATCGATTTTATAAATAATTTTCAATGAATACTTTTAATTTAAAGCTGCAATATATTTCATCGAAACAAAACGCATTACGTAGAAATCAGTATTGTGAAATACACTGATCAAAACACAAATACCGCAGAGCACTTGCACGAATGGGTGAGAATATAAATTTTACCCGGTTAGCTGATGCGAGCCATGGGTGCCGCCACATTGGCCTTGGAGGCTTTGCCGAGCGCCTTTTACATTACCTTTACTCCGCGGCCAGCTGTAATGCCACATGCGACATGTGATAGATGAACAAAAAATATTGAGGATATGGAAAAAAAGTTTCGCTATAACAAGAATGCAGGAATGGTAACAAAATATTTTAGTAAAAATTGTAATTAAAAGTTTATTATAAATGCCTGTAAAAGAATGTAACACCCAAAAAAGCCAACATCGTGCGGTGGTCCCAGACGGTCACCCATCCAAGTACTGACTGCGTCCGACGCTGCTTAACTTCCGTGATCGGATGAGAACGATTACGAGGACCTTTTTAAACATTAAATAAAGCAACAGTGATCAGCATTTTTTGTTGCGGTTACACTTTTTTTCGTGTAGCTCCCATTCGCCTGAGGAACTGCATGAGGAACAATAAGGAACTGCATTCCTAAAAAATATATAAGCAGCTGGGATTACATAAGGATATTCGTGGCCGATACGACGAAAAGAAAAAGGAGAAGGTGTTTGTTATTCGAAGCGTATATTTTTATGTATGACCACGCATAACTTAACTAATATATTTTTAAAATTTTTTAATGGATAAGGTAGTCCGGAGATATGGTCCCATATCGATTTGTAGAACTCCAGTAAGTAAACTAATAAAATAGATCACTCAGTTAGAATGGAACAAGTTGTTTTTTTTTAACTTTTGAATTTTTCCTTAAAGTCTAATTGTAGAGTATATATTTATATATCTTTTCTTAGAAGTTTTGACTCTGGTTGTACACATTTTAATATATCTTGACTGTATTTAACTTTTCGGAACCTATTCGACATAACCTTTATTTGTCATTAAAAAATTCTGAAAGTTAATTAGACCGACGAATCAAAACATTCTTACGTATTCATTCCCTTACATCTCTCTTCTAAATCGATCACAAGAAAACAATGTCACTATTAACTGCGTAACAAAAGCAATACGGTACGACGTCTTTTCTTGCGGATAATAAGGGTTTCGGGAGCCCTAAACAGTATTTTTTATTTACAGTAGAGCAGGTGTTTTCGGAGGAGTCGGACGAGGGCGGAGGCGCGGACGAGACGGCGCCGCCCAAGCCCTCTCACGGCCCGGACATCGAATTTCCTCTCAAAAGGAAAGACATCGACCTCCTTATAGAAGCTTTTCGCAAGAAAAAGGTAATTAATTTACTTTATAGATAGGTTTATCCATCGATATTATAGAGTTTTCATCGACCACGGAATGGGTGATGGTTTATTTAGGCTTTACGATTATTCATTGTGTTTATAAGGGATTCAATTTAGATAGATTGTGTTCATATGTCCTACACTGTGACAGTGACTGCTAAACTTACATATCTCTAGTAAGATTGTGTTTGTACTAGAGATGATATGGTTGTAAATAATGCATATAACACGATTTCCCTTCACTACTCTAAGACTGTTCTCGAGATATGGAAGTTTCTGATAGTTTCATTCGATAATGATATACTGGCATACACATGACTGAAGTAGACATACGAAATCCTCTTTGGGTTGCAATCAGCTCAAGATAGACGTATGCAACTTTAAATATATTAAGGTCTTTTTCTGAAAGTGTTTTCGTATTACGCTGTGCTTTGACACTGTCTTTGTTATAGGTAATGAAATGTAACCAAATGTAGTTTTTAGGGTACACCTAATACTCAGAGTAAAGATAGCATAAAGATCACCTATTATTTTCAAAACTGGCGCCCATATATGTGTTTGTTATCAATACCTGCAGAATTGTATTTGATGAAAAAAAAAACAAATGTAGTTTGTTTTTTACTCAAAAACGGCGTACACGCATGAAACGTCAAGTGAACCACTTGAACTTGCTTACTATGCAGATAAATTAAACAGTTTATGTTATAGCACTCACAGTTTACGTTGCTGTTATTACTGTTACTAGTGTTTACCCGCGGCTCCGCTCGTATAAACATAAAATTATTATTTTTTGGACCAATTGATATGTGTAAATGACGTAACTAGGTATGTAATATATATTCTTTGGGTCCGATAGCGATATTTTAATATCTTCCAGAAAATATTTATTGTTTGCAAAAAACAAAACATTTTCGAGATATTTTTCATTTAATTACATTAAACAGAGGTTTTTCTAACATATTTTTTTTAATAAGTATTATTTAAACTAATTGTTTTAATAAGCGAATATAACGTATTAGTAATATCATGAAGTTTATTTTCATGAAATTTTAGTATGTTTATAAAACAGGTTTAATATTTATTATAACCGCAAAAGCCTTATAATTTTTTGGTAATAAATGAATTATTAAAGCGTACGTTACTTTAAGTGTATTTTAGGAGTACATAATTATTATTCGAAATGTGGGAAACAATTTTTCGTCACTTTTGGTGCTTAGGAAAATAATATATGGGAGCAGAGAATCTACTTTAATCACAATGCATTCCACGGTTTGGGATATTGGCCCGAACAAACAGACAGACATTTAGTTTATATAAACTTTGTTAGTATTGATCTTGTATTGCTTACTGATACAGAAATTCATTATAAAAATATTAAGAATTTTATATTAATACTTGGTTAAAAGAAAGTACAAAAATTGTCGATAATACTATTGATAAGGCTAATTTTTATATTTGTGGGAAAAGTGTACAAGTTTTGCCAGAGGCATATTGTCAATTATGGGCTACTTGTCAATTATATTAATATCCCTTTTTGTTTCATTATAGACATCAATAGAAAATTAAGTTCAAAGAGAAAGGATTGTGTTGCTATATTATGGCTCTCTTTATGCTATTTTTGTTCTGAGACCTATTCACAGATCACTATTAATGAGTTGTCTGTGGTATATAAAACTTCCTTTATCACCTACATTCCTAATTTTCATTAACAAGTAATTGGTATTGACGTTATAGGTAACTAGAATGTGTTTATCACCGTCTTTAATATTAATCTATGAAGTGGACAATTTGCAGGTCTAACTTCCATTCGTACAAAACCAACAGTGTCAAGAGTAAAACTTGTTATATATATTATAAATAAACAATGAGGATGTGAAAAACCGGTTGTATTTATGAGTAACAAAGAATGTAGTTTTAATTGCAATCAATATTTTATGTAAAATGTAGGCAAGATTTTTCAACATATTGATTAGCATATTAAAATTTATGCTATGCGTAGATATTACGTTTACGTAAACATTAAATTTGCGAATTTATTCATTTAACTGACGTTATATTGTCTTCATTGATTTTTTTAACAGTTCTGGCGTGTATAAAATTTGGATACATTTATATCATCTTTACAGAGACTAATATTTTAAATAGCGGGTGCTTTTGATAGTTAATCATAGTAAGTTTGTTATTATTATTATTATCCTTTCTATGTGTGATAAGTTTCTATAAATTCATTGTTAGTCGTAACTCAATATTCAGTAACGAATTGAGTGTGCAGTAAATGAATGAATTATATTACTGAGAATTGAAATATAATTTGTACCTTCCGCACACAGTGTACAATATATGAATACGATTATACATTTTTGGATATATGCATAGTTTCCTCTTTGTGTAGACCGATGATAATTGAATTACATTCTATTATCTATGAATAAAAAATGTGACATAAAATAAATAATAACGTTTTAGTGACAACCCTACGAAAGGATTTCGACATGGAGAAAACGTAGTTATGTATTTTGTGAACGTGATGTGGGTGTTCCTTAGATTTTCGTAACGTTCATTATAAAATACAACGTGAATATGTTATTCAATACTATTCAAAGTTGACTAAAACCATCTTAATTATATTGTAATAGTTTATTGTCCTAAAAATCGTAACAATACTATTTGTAAAAGAAAATATGCCTAATAGTCTAAATATACATAACTACAGTTATAAAAAACTTCCTTATTGTATAACAAAAATAGGTCACAAGCGAAATATTAATGCACAAAAGTGCTATTCACACGCCCTAACAGATACTGAGTCACTGGGGCTATAACTATTTGCAGTGCAATAATACGATAAAAAAATATCTTAACTAATATATGTATACTGTGTAGTCTCGAGCTTTGGAATCTTGTCCGCTGCAAAAATCATATCACCATATCATCATATCACCATTGAAATGGATTCCAAAAACGAAGGAACTTAGCCGTAGGCAGACTGCTATTGTCGAAACGGGCGGTCTGATTACTGTAAAATAAATTGTTTTAAATTTTATTCTAATTGCTACAAACAAAGCATTTGTTATTGAATTATGTCGCTTAATAATATTGCCATAGGGACCAAAGTAATTTTATATGTAGTACAAAATACGTATTTTGGCTTCTTCGAAGCACCGCAAAAAGGAATAACACGGGTAATTGACACTTTTTCTATAGTTTTTTTTTTTATCTTTCATGTATAATTATAAATATCATTTAATTAAAGTATTTTTAAAATGAGCTAAAATGGCCATTCTCAAACTTTTTTTGGTGACGGAAAACCTTTGAATGTATATTTTTTGTGAACGGTAGATTTATTATCATTATTGAGTACCTAGTGGTAAGACATGATTTTGATACTAACACAATTATTTACACATACACTAAATATTATTTGATTGCAATAAAATTATGTTCATAAAACAACAATTCGTTGTTGTATCATAAAACAACAATTCATTGTTGAGATGTTACAAAATATACTGTGTCTATTTATATATATAGGCTATTGTTCGGTGAGCTCATATGTTTACGATCATGTTTATCGATGTCGTTAGCATCGCCTGCATCCGAAGCACGCGGCCCAGATTCTGAAAGAAGCGACCCAGGCGTTGAAGAGGCTACCGAACATCAACGTCGCCACCACTTCTATATCCAGTCAGCTGACGGTGTGCGGGGACTTGCACGGCAAACTGGACGACCTCCTCGTCATATTTCATAAGGTATTTTTGTTTTATGTATTGGCTTTATTTCCAGGATTTTCTTTGTTTTTATCACTTTTTTCTTTTATAAAATTCTATAGCTCTATGTTAGAAGCTATAGAATTTTATTTTATATTATATTATTAAATAAGGGTCTCTGTTCAAATGAAGCTATCTTCATTTGAACAGAGACCCTTATTTAATACAAAATAATCTTAAGGTTAGTAAATGTACTAAAGTCACAAAATTTTTGAAACTGGCAATCAAAACGCATTGGAATCGATCATTATTTCAGGAAAATTGAAAAGCGTTGTTATATAATCGTATCAATTCGATATTTGACGTAGTCTATAATAATCTGACTGATACAGATACGCTTTTGATAAGT